GCCCCATAGGTGACCCCATAGCCCCGCACTCACCCCGGCAGGAGGTCTGGGGGGGTGGGGATGGGTTTGGTGAAGCCCTCGCGCCCCACGAGCCAATAGGTGTCCTCTACTCCCTTCCCCTACAAGTTATGGGGCCAAGGGTCAGTTATGGGGTCAGATATGGGGTCAGGGATCAGTTATGGGGCACAGGGAATAGGTGTCCTCTACTCCCTTCCCCTACAAGTTATGGGGTCAGATATGGGGTCAGGGGTCAGTTATGGGGTCAGATATGGGGTCAGGGGTCAGGTATGGGGCACAGGGAATAGGTGTCCTCTACTCCCTTCCCCTACAAGTTATGGGGTCAGGTATGGGGTCAGGTATGGGGTCAGGGATCAGTTATGGGGCACAGGGAATAGGTGTCCTCTATTCCCTTCCCCTACAAGTTATGGGGTCAGGTATGGGGTCAGGGGTCAGTTATGGGGCACAGCCAATAGGTGTCCTCTACTCCCTTCCCCTACAAGTTATGGGGTCAGATATGGGGTCAGGGGTCAGCTATGGGGCACAGGGAATAGGTGTCCTCTACTCCCTTCCCCTACAAGTTATGGGGCCAAGGGTCAGCTATGGGATCAGTTACAAGATCAGGTTTTAGTTTTAGGGTCAGCTATGGGGTCAGTTATGGGTCAGCTATGGGGTCAGTTATGGGGTCGGGGGTCAGTTACGGGGTCAGGGGTCAGTTGTGGGTCAGTTATGGGGTCAGGAGTCAGTTATGGGGTCAGCTATGGTCAGGGGTCAGTTATGGGGTCAGGGGTCAGCTATGGGGTCTGGTATGGGTCAGTTATGGGGTCAGTTATGGGGTGAGGGGTCAGTTATGGGGTCAGCTATAGGGTCAGTTATGGGGTCAGGGGTCAGCTATGGGTCAGTTATGGGTCAGTTATGGGGTCAGGGGTCAGCTATGGGGTCGGGGGCTGGCTGAGGCCTTTGGGGCACGTTTTGGGGTCTCTCGGGGTGTTCTGGGGCATTTTGGGGTGTTCTGGGCTGGGTTTGGGGTTTCTCTGGGGTTTTGGGGTGTTTTTGGGTTTCTCAGGTGTTTTTGGGGTGTTTTTGGGG